CTACTGCCCGAAGACGGCTGGGATAGGCTCCAGCACCCGCCGCGACCCTTGTGAGGATGGATATAAACGATTTCTTACAGACCACTGACAGTTTTTAGAAATACTGCACAGAAAGTTTCATCGACATTCTGGGTTTTGTTTTTGTCATGGAGAAAATTTGGCAAGAAGTACAGCGAAGAAGCGCGGCGACTGTTGAGATAAGTCTACAGTAACCTTAGGATGCAGAAAACAATACACCGTTTTAAAAAAACTGCATGGAAAAAAAATGATGAAACAGTGAAGCGGTCAAAGATAAACAGTGTTATAGCGAGGGATTACTTGACACAATGCAAGAATTTTTTTTTGTGCTTTGTTTTCTACAAGTGAAATTCTATCACTTATTTGTGGATTTTTGCCATTCCCAGGCTAGCCTCGACCCACTCCCCAATGAATAGCGGCTGTCACTGTATCAATATCGTCTAATGGTCTGTCCGTCCATCCGTCCAAACTTTGGGAATTCAGGAGGAAGCCAGAGTACCTGTCGAAAACCCATGCATGCAAAATAATAGACAAAAAGACGCAGCATAGAATTAAAAACCAGAACCTCAGTGAGGGTAACGTAAAAACAGTTAATAGAAGAGCTGAAATGGAATCATGGCATTAAAAATTCCTTTCGATGGGGAAATGGAAATGGAGTTACTGTAATCGGGTGATAAGGGACAATGATTTAGATGATTTAAATGCGATGAAATTTTTTTTTTTTTTTATTACCCAGCAGTCCCCTTTTACCCATAAATTTGCGGTAGAGCGTACGTCACAGAATTAAACTCATAGTGTACTAAATCACTACTACGACCTACTTTTGGCCCATCTTGTATAGCATGAGCATGTGCCACTAAACGGAACTTTTTTTTTTTTTTTTTATCCCACATGGCAATTCGTTATCCAATTGCTATCCTTCTCTTTTCGAAACTCAATCGTGTCCCCTCAGAAAAGAAACGGATGGGCGGCGCAGAAACCGGATCGACAGCGGGACTCAAGCCACCGCAGTTCAGTCGCTGTATGGATGTCATGTGCAAAGGCACCCTATTCTGTTACCACCGATCATTTATTTATTTACATTTACAAAGTAGAAGTTCCTGTATCACATTTTTTGGTCTAGCCTTAAAAAAAAGGAATAAATGGCCCGAACTGAACAATGATAACGTGTGAAAATTAGAACTGCACCTGCACAACAAAAAATATTTATAGCAGGTCCAATGGAAATTTGGATTTGAATGTTTTTAAAATGTTATGTTGGGGTGGTGCTGGTGTTGAGGCAGTGGGGTGTGACAGGACTTATTCCTCTTATAATGTAAATAATTTAAAGTCATACTTTTTTATCATGACTTTTGTGTCGAAAAATCTTCACACGAAATACAGTATAGTTTCAAGGGTTTCGCTTTATGCTGGCGCCATCTAGCGGCATTTGATTTGATTTTAGCGAGACTGCCCGAGCACAATCTTTTCTCCACAGGAAAATATTAGTAAGTACCATGTGTCGTTTTTCCTGTCCATAAGTTTATTCGTTGCTTTTTTTTTTGTCAGCCAGATTGTCACATAGTTGAAAAGACACATGCTGAACCTCCGATAAGACAGAGAGGGACCGTAGCGAAAGAATATTTTTTTCTTCCTTACCGTCTGTTCCTGGAAAGTGCATAGTTTGAAAAAGAAGCAAACTCGATAATTAAGACATGAACACAACCGAACGACAATCATCATTTTTGTTGGATAGTGTGTGTTGCGTAGGAGGAAACGTCTCTTAAGCAAACGTATAAAAATGCTTTGTATTCAGATGAAAAGAAGGTGGGGGGGGGCGTTGTTGTTCCATGGGAGCGGGGTGCTGTTGGTCACGTGCCACTTTACGCCTGAACCAAGGTGGTAAACTCTATAAAAATGAGAAGGCAAAATCAGCATTTGTGCATTGAGCTCAGCAGTGCTTGGCGGTCGTACCGTCAACGCCAATCTTGCCGTCGCCGTCGGTGTCACCGGCCTTGAGGAAGGCCTTGGTCTCGGCGTCATTCAGGGTGCGCGCACCATGCCTGAAGTTCTGCAGGAACAACCTGTGGCGGACGCGCGCATCGTCAGGCATAGCAACTGCCTCCATTTTCATTTGGAAGGGCGCTTCTTTCATTATAATCGATTTCTATTTTTTTTTAAAAACTATTAAATAT